CTCCCCCCTCCCCCCTCTCCCCACTAGAAAAGAAAAGAAAACACAAAAATTGCACAAAGAAACTAGGCTTGGCTTCCAAGCAGGCTGATTGAAGAAAGATACGGATTAAAGTTCCCAATTAAATAACAAACAAAAATTCAACTGTCAGTTTATAGTGAGCATCAATAATCAGTTTTAGTAATCAATAATCATGGGCAACAAATTTGTGAAAACCAATATGAAAACTTCTTACCTTTCCCAACACAGGAGCCATTCCCATGATAACTGAGGCTAAAGCTGAACGGACATGCTGAGAGGAATCTGACGACAATTCCTGTAGTCATTAATGGCTTATGCTCAGCATGTAAAAGTGCACATATGAAAAGGAAATTCAAACTCTGAAATAGCATATGCACCTTCACGCAGGGAAGGATATGCTGAATTGCCAATTCTGGACTTAAAATCCGGCAAAACTTGGTCACTTTGCCAGCAGCTGCTATTCGAACTTCAGCTTCATTGTCACGAAGCAAGCGCACATAAGCAGGTACCAAATCCGTCCTTACCACCCAAAAACAAATTCATGCAGTATGAACCATATAAGAACTCAATATACAGTACAAATGGCACAATATTCACAACACCTCCTAATATAAGAACTATTTCCTGTGTTTATATAGTATTAGCAAAAAAAGTATACAAGCACTCTAATTTTTTTATAAAGAAAATATGATAATTAAGATAAATAAAATTAAAACAACAGGGTCATACGTGCACATAAGTGAACCAATGACAGAGGAGGAGCCACCAAAAAAACTAAAGAAACTGAAGTATCCCCAATTGCCAAGAATAAAGAGCAAAGGAAATTCAGAAGAACTGACTGTAAGAAAAAACTAAAAAGAGGCAACCTCCTCTTGAGAAACCCATATATCCAGAACAGGAGGAAGTAGGGGGCTTACATCGATTTAGCCAAATAAACCAAATGATAAAGGAGGGTCATACATTATTACATTTCATGGGTTTCCACAACACAGTCCCAAAAAAAAAATAGCATTTGTATCTTTCTACATAGATCAATAACCAATTTTCTTCATAGATTAATAAGAAATTACCTAGTTGGTTCCGGTCCTACAGCCTCACACAATTCGTATAACTGGTTTGCAACCATGTAACGCACGCGCCAAGACTTATCCTACATAACAGGAAAAGCAGGGAACAAGAAAGAAATTAGAGCTTGGAGAAAATGGGTCAAGACCATGAGGGTATGAAGCATGTACATACCACTTTCACCATTTGTTATACACCATAGAGGTACTCACATGAAGAAATAATCAATTTTTCTGTGCTCTTTCTTAAAGAAAATTCAAGAATCCCCAAGGACAGCTCAAATTTTTTTGATAGAAACTTAAAAAGAACTTGGACATTTGTACATCTAAGTCATACTTACTATAACTAAAAAGTTACAACTAAACAGCAGAAATACAAAGGAAACATATTTCAATGCATTCAGACGTTCATCAAAAGGACATGGAACCAATAGATTACAAGATGTTATTGTACAATAACAATCGATCTTTGTTCCAAAAAAAGATAACACTTGATCTGATCATTCAATGAAGATACATCTCAACAGTATATATGATTGTACTAACAAATTTCCCGGGCATACATTTCAAACAGTGAAAGCAATAAATTGAGCAAAAATATACCTGAGAGAAGTTAACAATAACGGGAAGAATATGCAATACACAATCTTGGGGCTCCAATAACTTGCCCAAAGCAGCACAACCCTCAACGGCCAGCAATCTTACAGAGTCTTGGTCTGTGAAAAAACTTGATGTAAGAAACACAAAATGTACTAAAACAGACAACTGTATAATACAAAGAATTCTAAAGAGCAATTCTCATGCTTTTGCAACAAGAGAAAGACCCATGTTTTTTTCCCTGTTAATCTGGTGCTGAAAGCCAAATGAAGCATAGATACACCTAAGACATAATGATCTCAACTAATTTGCATACTGCACATACACTCCAAAAAAAATTCAAAAATTTAAACAATAAGTCCAAACTTTAACCAGCAATACACAACCCACGTGATGCACCCACTAGAAACCACACAATCATTGTCCACATCAATTCAAAGACCACAAGGAACGAGAAAAGTAACCACAGTCAGGTAACAGATACAGATAATACCGTCTTGTGTAAGATCCTCAAATATTGTCATGATATCAGTCTTCAGATGAGCAGGTTCAATAGTGGCAGCAAATTTTCCTAAATTTGTTGCCGCAGACCTCCTTACCATGGGCATGTCATCTTGACACAGCTGGCCATATATTGACCGCAACTCAGTCTTCAACATCTCTGGAGCACTAGGGTAGGCGATATGGAATAGCCCACATGAAGATACTCTAGCTGTAAACCATTCACCAGCTGCCAATCTCTGATATATGTTCAAGCACAAACACACAAAAACCCTTAGAAAACATCAGACTCAAAGCTATCAAAGATTGTTTATATAAAAATAAATAAATAAAAGAAAGAAAGCAAAAGCTAGCAATTCACAGATTTTTGACAGAAGAAACAAAAGGGCTAAAACAGGAAAGAAGCTAAAAGGGTCTCAGAATTGGTTCAATGTAATAAAAGTTAGTCATTTTGGGCTGCATTCTTTAGAAAAACATATTGTTGCGTTGAAAAGACGTCAAAAGTATAGGTCAATGACCAAGACATAAATACCATCCCAGAACATTCAATATATCATGGGACGCATCTTTTGCTGACATCTTTTATTTATGGATACTTCTCAACAGGACACTTACTGCATGTGTCAGCTAAGAAAATGGAATGCATACCGAAGGAAATAAGAAAAAAGAAAATTGTAGTAGAGGGAAATACTAACCTTGACGAGAGGAATGAACCAGTCAACTAAGTCACTCTCTCTCATCTGGGATCCAATTCTGCACAATGACTCCACAGCTTTGTCCCTCACACACGTTTCCTCAACAGTGCACAGAGTTTCTAAAGGTGGAAGCAAAACATGGGCATGCTCAACTCCACCAACATATGGGATGAACACTCCCAATTCCTCAGCCATAGCAAGAAGCACCTCATCATCATCATCATTGTTTTCACTCAGAAATGGGATCAACTCTTTACGGGTTCGCTCCTCCCCAAGAGCACGAGCAATTGTTGACAGTCTACGAATTGAGTTTAACCGTAGCTGAATGTCATCATTTTTTAGCTCATCAATTAGAACAGCTATCGGATATAGTGGTTCGTCAACCATAGACATCTTATTCAGCGCTTTCCTGTAAAACTAAAAACGTGATGGAGGGGGAAAAAACAAACGGTTCACAGCTACAAAAAGACGGTTCCAAAAAAGACATATAGAATGATGGGAAAACAATAACATAGATATCAATATATATATATATATAAGAACGAAAAAGCGACCCACCGCATCCGAAACGGACTAAAAACACTGACGTAACGAAAAATGCCCAAGCGCAACTTTGCCCGCTTATGTCAAACTCGTGCCTTCCGGACGTTCAAAGTAGAAAGTAGATAAAATCAATGCTCAGAAGGATCTCTAATAACTAGATGGAAACCACTAATTACACTAGATATTGAAGGTTCGTTGTTGATTTATGATCCTCGACTTCACAAACAAAAGGTAACAGGTAGAAATGGACAAATCAGATCCGAAATCCAAGATCTGAGGGCAAGAAAGGATAAGCTAAAGAACCATAGAGAAATGGTAAAAACACCCAAGTGGTAAGAGAAATGACGCAGATTCGAAGGTCCGAACCCTAAGTTCAGTGTTATGCAGTTAGAAAGGTCAGAATCGAAGTTTCTCTATCAAGAACGTGAACAGCGCCGTCGAATTATTATGTTGTTCCTTGAAACCTAAGGTACGCGACACAAAGAATTCGATCTCACAATTCCCTTCCTCTCAACAACTCAGTAAAGACGTGAAATCCAGATTAAACAAAGCGCTGCTCAGACGAAGAATGGAGATGTAAAACAAAAATGGTGGAGGAAAGTGGAAAAGTGAAAGCGGACTCACCTAGATCAATGCCCTGGCTGGCTGAGCTTCAGGAACCTGTCGTCGGAGAGAAAGAAGGAAAGGGAGAGAGACCACAAGAACAAGAAAACCCGATCTGGAATTGTATAATAACAGAATTGTAGTAAGCTTTTAAGGGCCGGCCCATCAAATCCTAGTTTATTGGGCTTATTACAAGAATCGATTCCAAATATTCGTATTAACTACTCATAGGCCGTTGATTTTGGGCTTTCTTATTTTTGTAAGCTGAAAACCAAGCCCAAATGTGTCGGGTTCATGTTTCATGGGCCTTAACAACCCAGGTCAAGAGGAGCAATATCTTGAGAATTGACTTTATATAATATTATTTTTTTAATATCCAATTAATATCATTATATAAAATGGATCAAACTTAAGGATGGAGTTATTGCTAAAATACATTTACATATTTATGAAATTAAGTTTTGGGATAACAAACATGTGTGTATGTATAGGTAAAATAGTTTAGTTGAACTCAGGTTCGTATTTGAAAACATTTGGACATCCTCATATGTTTGGTTACATCATTATGTTCTATTCAAAACAACGTTTAGAGATTTTTTTTTTTCATGACAATTAGAGAAAATCTTAATTAGGTTATTTTAACCTATTTTTTGACATTGATACGAATAATATTCAAATGTGATGATTTTAAGTCATATATTAAGAAATTTGAAAGAATCGTTTTCCTGACATATTTAATGTAACTATGACCTTCTAGGTTGGGGCATGTCATGCAGAAGAAACTCATTATCCACTAAAAGACTGACCAAAATAGTTACGCTTTTTAAATTGTTTAAAACTTTACACTTCGGATTTCTCTATGTTTTCTGTTCTGGCTGGCACACGAATGAACCCATCTCCCTAAAGCATTGTCAAAACATTTCACATGCCATAGAATGCGAGGACTGCAACGGCTGTTTGCATCATAAATGTTTTGACATAACGGCTGGTAAAAGCACAAAAGAATATGGAGTGATGCTGTTTGCATCATAAATGTACTACACAATCCCCCTCTCATAGCTATCATCTAGAGGCAAAATAAAAACAATATCATGCCACAGCCACACTAAACCTAATCCTTGGCCCCAACAGCTTTGATGAACAAGGCACAAGTACGACATTTCCGATGACCCGAATCGACCTTATACAGAGGACGAGTCCATCAAGACAGCATAGGTTAACCAAACTGAGATCTCAAACTTTTGTTTTAGCTTGCGGCAAATTCGACCATCACTGTATGAAAGGTGCATTAGTGAGCCAAGTGTGACATGGCATGGCATCCTATCATGCCTCAATTCTTGATGCCAACCAATCTTAACAATCTAGTCCGTCCTTTTTAATTGTTAAGTCCTCTGGCGCCTTGAAATTTGCCTTCTCACTGAGCTCTTCAAATGCATTCCTGAGATTTTGCAGCCTTGCCACAAATTCAATAAGAAGCGAAGCAAATGTTGCCAAAGACAAGGAGCTTGCACTTTCATGTACTTTCGACTCTCGTTCATTAGGCACGGTATCCATTAAAAATGAAAGACGTGGCCATGAAACCAGGTGTTTGTTAAAGACATTATCAGTGGATACCCATTCTGTCATGGGAGGGTGGACGCCGATGCTCGAGTGTTGAGCATACATGGTCTCGTTCAGGGAATCGATTACCAACTGTTTGTTATGATCATCTTTGACATCAATAAAATGTTGGGGTTCTTCTTGTTCCCTGTGCTGTTTTCCAGTTCTCCACCTATCTGAATTCACCAGCATATTCGATCTCTCGTCAATCTTTATTTGTAAAGCTTCTGCGGCGTCATGAACATCGAAAAGCATGTCACCTGAGCTCAATTTCTCCATCTTTTCTACTTTACTTCCAAGCGCACGTAAGAACTTAGCTCCCTCAGTGCCAACCCTCTGAAGCTCCTTTGCAAACACCTTTCTCTTCTCTGGTGGAGCCTATAACACAAACTTGCAAGATCCAGTCATCTACATACATATATAAATATATATATATATATATATATATATATATATATATATATATATTGCGTACATATATAGTGCATACTAGTCTAAGCTCACCACTAGTAGATATTATCCGCTTTAGCCCGGTACGCATCGCCCTCAGCCTCAAGGTTTTAAAACGAGTCTGTTAAGGAGAAGTTTCCACCCTCCTATAAGGAATGATTTCGTTCCTCTCTCCAACTAATGCGGGATCTCACGGTCCACCCCCTTGGGAGCACCCTTATAAAGAATGCTTTGTTCCCCTCCCCAACCAACGTGGGATCTCACAATCCACCCCTCCCTTGGGGGCCCAACATCCTCGTTGGCACACCACTCGGTGTCTAGCTCTAATACGATTTGTAATAGTCTAAGCTCACCATTAGCAGATATTGTCCGCTTTGATCAGTTACATATCATCGTCAGCCTCACGGTTTTAAAACGTGTCTGCTAGGTAGGGACAGGTTTCCATACACTTTATAAGTAATGTTTCGCTCCCCTCTCCACCCAATGTGGGATCTCACACCTACCCAACTAACTGATTAAACATACTTAATTATAGCCAATTTGGCACCCAGCTAGCAAATCAACAACCAAGAATAATCAAAGTTCTAGCTACCAAAATAGTTCAATTTAGAATTTCAAATTTAAATGACCATATTTACTCATAGAAATCAATTACAACAAAGAACAGCTAAAGAAAGAAGGTCCAATCACCTGGATTTCTGAAAGAATACAGCCGTGCATTGCCATAACCATAAAAGCACAATGCCTAAGAGCGCCACTCACTTTGACATAGTTATGCCATGGATACTTGAATGTCTTGTAAGGGCCATGCGGTGGCTCCCAGCGGGCGAAGTCCAACTACAAAAACAACGAGACTCAAGTAAAACCTTCTGGTAGCATACCATCTAATCGAAAAGTATGTAAGAACCAATACCAATGTGTCCTCCTGGCTTGAGGACTGCACGGCGGATCTATAAGCATTATATATAGGGTTATCAGAGGCCTGATATGTAAGAATTTTCGAAGAGACTCTCTCATATTCCACACACTGAAGGTATTCACTAACAACACCTGAACAAGACATAGATTCTCTCATGTTCTTGCTGATTAAAAGGATAAGAAAGTGCACAGAATCTTATTTTCAAAATGGATGACAGAATTGATCTTGCCTTCCAAAGAAGATGAAACATTTTTGAAATTTTTGACAACCAATTTGTGCAGATCCTCCCCTGCCCAAATGGGGTATATACATATATTCACAACCAAGCACATGCCAGCACCGACGGCGATGTGCAATAATCGATAAAAAGCCGTATGGAAAAATGACGACGAACTTCCAGATACCAACACGATGCAAAATGTCAACAGAAATACCCGGAACCCATATTCATACGTCTTCATCGGCGGATACAATTTACAATAGCTTGCAAAGAACCCTAAAATAATGAAATGAAATTGTTAATTTAAGAATCCGTTGCATTATAATCGCACAGATTACTTTGTTGCTGCTATAAACTCATACCTGCAAGGAATATACTGATTACGATTGCAACTTCTTCAAACTCCCCAGCCGAGACAGATATCTCTGCAATACCAAGAGCAAGTCCACCGGCTGAAAGTGTCCCCAATGCACGATTGAACCCTTTATTCAGCGTGGCCCCTACAGAAATCAACGCGATTATTCCCTTGAAAGAAGAAAATGACACATAAAACCTCAAAAAATCCCCAAATGGACGAAAATCGGTGAAACGAAAATCATTAACCATACCAACGCTAAATTCGAAAACAACGACGACGGTGAGGATGGCCCAGATTGAATACTGGGCTACTTCTTTCAAAGGCTCTCGAATGAAAATGAGGAGCGAAGTGAGCGCAAGCGACAACCCCATCTTCGCGGCGAAGTAGAATTTGCGGGGATCGGAGCGGCTCATGTCGCACAACTTGACGGTAGTATCATGTAAGCCTTTCCAAAAGTTGGTGATCGCATCGGAAACGGTACAGAAACACCGACACTTGGCATCGTCATCGGCACCGGCGTCGTCGTTGCCGTGCAGGCCGAAATCGGAATGGCCCTTACGAGATAAGAGTTGTTCCCTGTTCTGATCCAGAAAACTCTGTCGGATTGATCCATATTTTCCGGTCATCTCTTCATCAACAATGGAAACGAGCACTCAGATGATGATGAACAGGATTTCGCAATGGCTGAACAGAAATGAAAAAAGAAAAAAAAAAGGATATAATAATGAATTGTGGAACTCAAATGAACAAGATGGTTACTGTATGTAACTGTAAAATATAACCGGCGGTGACAGCGTATTACAAGATGGTTACACGCACACCGTATTACACGAAGGGGATTTGGTGATGATGGTGAGGCTGGCGGTGACAGCGTAAGATTTTCTTTTCTTTTCTTTTTCTTAATAAACACATAATTATTTAAAATATAACCGGCGGGTACGGTAACTGATAACGTTCAACGAATTGGCTCGAGGAGAAAAAATAATATTTAACTGACTCCCTAAGTAACCGCCAACCAACCAAATAGCGACACCTCCCACATTGCACTTTTGAAGATATATACTGTGTTTTCCCTAGACAACATTAATACATTTATTCATAAGTTTGTAAGTTTATTTATTTTCCAAGTCTAATATAATTTTCTTTTTAATAAATTTCTAAAATTTTAATTTTATATTCATTTATTAATTATCCTATTGTATAGAGTATTTAGTAAATATATAAAATTTAAAAATTCACGATCAAAATAGAAGCTCAATTTTATACTCTTACCTTTTCCGTTAAACGTTGTAATATATCATATCTAATATAAATATAAATTTATAAATATAATGACGGTGAAAAATTAAATTATCTACTTCTATAATGATAATTAGTATATTTGTTCATTAAGTTATGTTCGGATTGAAAATCATTTACCTAAAACATTAGAGTCACTAAATATTAGGTAAATTAATACGTATAATACTATACTTATATAAGAAACAAAAATTAGCAAAATAAAAAAAAAATTAACTTACATGGCGTATAAATTTATGGTTAAATTATAAACTTAGTCTAAGCTTTTGAAGTTGTATATTAAATTCCTAAAATTTAACTTTTATATATGGCATGTTAATAAATTTTAAAATGTCTACTAAACACTGAGGGTCATGTCATATTTAAATAGTCTTATATAAAAAATGAAACGACGTGACGTGTTGTATGAAGAGTGGTGAAACAATTTAGTCGACACGTCAGCGTTGGTTGATGGTTCCTCGCTGGGATGATTTGGAAGGACAGAACATAGAACAAAAGCAAGCAACCATTCGGATCGCAACAAATTCTGTCGGATGAGATTCTGAGTATCCTGCAATACGTTATGGTCGAAGATTGACGAAATTACTGTTTTGGCCCACTGATTAAATTATTTTAATTCGCTCGTTTTTACCTTCACGCGTCAAGCTCCTAGGAGTTGCCACCTATTTTCGGCATTGAATTATTGAGACGATGATTTAGGCAATATAAAGTTAATCGAACACACAATTTTTTTTTTTTTTTTAGGTTATCTAAAGTCTAACCATTAAATTATACAATGAATTGAGTTTTAACTAATGTACTCATTTGAGTTAAAAAGGACGCAATTAAATTATTGAGTTGCAATAAATACCTAATTAATTATCCTATTTGGTAATGTGCTTGAATCTTGGTTATTTGAAAATTAGTCGATTTGAAAGTTTTGTTATTTGAAAATTAGGCTCACTTCTTAATTTCAACCCACTAAATTTTCATATCATTTGATATCAAAGTTTAGACTTTGTATTAGATATATGATATTTATCTTTTGTTAAATGAGTATAGGATTAAATATTTAGCATCTTGATTTATTCCTTATTGAGTTTAATTCTAATTCACTAGATTCATCGTATCAACGGAGACTAGATAATTGACACAAAGTTGAAAGTTAAAAGAAACATATAATAAATCTTTACAATAATAACTTAGTGTTAGGGACAACTTAATATCAGTTATGTCTCTTATTTTTTACTCTCTAACATAAACATTAATGAGTTTATTTTTTAAATTATAAAATATGTTCATATGCCAATGAAAATATTGTAATCATTTATATAAAACACTATAAACATTAAATATCAAAATTTATATAAAACATTACGAATGACTAATGTTGGTGGTTGGTGGAGGTGAGGTAGATGGATAGTAAGCGTTAGAAACCACAAACCTCACAATGATATGATATTGTTCAGTTTGAGCATAAGTGTTCATAACTTTCTTTTTGATTTTGACCTCATAATCATATATAATCCATTCGATTTTAATTTTTTTCCATTGATTTATTTTATGAAAATAAAATTAATTGAATTGGTGGCCAGCAAGAGTACGTTAGTTTGTAAATATTTACAGCTCACTCCTTTGTGTTTTTTATATTTTAAGAATACGTTTCTGACACAAACAATACACATTTGAAATCATACCATATATACAAATAAGTTAAATTAATAGCAAGTATAATCTCTTTTTTTTTGTGGGCCCATTTAAACATTTTACACAATTACCCTTCTACCCTCGTATATCACTCTATTATGATCCATGTAACATAGCTCAACAGACATGCAATTATTTTTTCTGGATATTCAAATTTTATGTCTTTATTAATTATACTAAAAATAAAAAAAACATACTAATTTGTTATTTGGCTATTTGAATAATGAATGGTACATAAAAAAATTTATTTTTACTTTCTATGATTTATGATTGTTTCTAAGCTGGTATATTATATTAGGTTTATCATTTATATATTATATTAATATAATATAAAAAGGTATTAGTATTGATTTATATTGTGAATAATATAAGTGATAGACATATATATTTTTTACAAGCTTAATTTTAAAGCACAAAAAAAAAAAAAAAATATTATTTTTGTAAGAAAAAAACTATTTTTCGATATCTCTTACACGTAGGCTTCCACAAGAAGAAAGGGAAAGCACTTTCCCGCCCATTTCTCTGCACTTCACCCATCAATGGCTCCCAAATCCGATAGCGCAGAAGGTGAACTCTCGCATCGTTTTTTTTTCTGAACTCTTGGCAGTATGATTTCTTTATCATAATTATGGTTCCAATTTTGGATTTATGATATCTTCAACGTAGAAATTAAATCCTTCATTCCTGACTTCGTTTTCTAAAATTTCCAGCGATCGTGCTCAACTTCGTTAACGAGGTATTGTTTCATCACTTTGCTTCACTGATTTCTTTGTGATCATTAATTGTTTGTAATTCGCCGATTCACTGGTCTACTTGATATTCCTCAAACGCGTGCAGTTCCTTATCCCCGTTCTGCGCTCATTGCAGCGAAGATTATAAGCTTTTACGCTTTGTTGTACTTGTATCTTCCTGTTGTTTACTGTTACCCTAATTTGTATGTAGAAGAACTTATCCGTCTTCGTCGCTTGAGTGTTGGGTAAAATACACATCCGAGCGATTTGTTTCGATGAACCTCCATTTGGCTGCCGAGTGCGTTTGCAATTTCACGATGCAACTCGCTTGCAGCGCTACTGTCATCTTTTATTCGTTGGTTAGGTCTTTTGGCCTTCTTTGTCTAACGGAATTTGCCGCATTTTTGTTCTGTTCAGCAAAATCGTCCACTAAACTCTCAAAATGTTGCTGATTCATTACAAAAATTCAACCTCAAGAAGACGGGGGTGCAAAAGGCACTGGATGCCCTTGCCGATAGTGGACGAATTTCTTTCAAGGAGTATGGCAAGCAGAAGATATATCTCGCCCGGCAAGACCAATTCAAGATCCCAAACAGCGAGGAACTTACTCAAATGAAGGAAGCAAACGCCAAACTGCAGCAACATCTAGCCGAGCAAAAAAAGGCTATTACCCAGGTGGAGGAAGGTAATTATACTTGTAAATTTCAAAGAAGTCTTCAATAATGTAAAGTTTATGAATCATTTAAGCCCTGTCAATTACGGTATTCAAGTTCCGAGAAATAAAAATGATAGCGGCATGAACTTTTGCAATAGAAATTCGAACGTTGCAGTCAAACTTAACGCTGAAAGAAATGCGGGAAAAGGAAGCTATGCTGAGAAAGGAGGTAGAGAAATGCTAAATTAGATAGCTGAAACTTTACTTCGTTCTGTTTAGTGATAATGTGACCCCCTTTATCTGTTGCCAATGTCTCAAAAAGTAGCTCGTTTGGTAACTGACAGGTTAAGGAATTGGAAGAAAAATTGGAAACATTACGCGGAGGTGTTACGTTGGTGAGCCCAGAAGACCGCAAAGCAATCGAGCAGATTTACTCTGAGAAACTAGGCCAGTGGCGAAAGCGAAAAAGGATGTTTAAAGATATATGGGATGTTATCACTGAGAACTCACCTAAGAATCTAAAAGAATTTAAGGTTTTTTCCGATTATTTTGCTTTGCTTGTTTTTACTCCAATTATTTGGATTAAATACTTTGTGTTCATACAGGAAGAACTTGGCATTGAGTACGATGAAGATGTGGGCGTGAATTTGCAGTCATTCAGCGACATGTTACCACAAAATCGAAAACGGCCCAGGGGAAAGTGAGTGATAACATAAAATGGGGCGTCCAAGTAGAGCAAATGCAGGTAGATTCTGTCTTCCTAAAGGTTTGCTTCTGTATCAGGATTACTTATCAAGTTTTTTTCGTTGATCCATGCTAAGTTGAAGAAACAATTTATGTTACAATGCTGAGTAAAAGAAATTGCCGTCCTTGACACAATTTTTGTCGAATGGGTTTCTACTGTATTCTATTGTTTACTTGGTCAGTGAGGTTCTTTCCCTCGATTGACTGAACTGTGAACTAAACTTCTAGTGCTCATGCAATAAAAGAGGTAATAGTCTCTGCTGTTGTGTCGACTCGAGAAGAAAGATTAATTTCTTATCTGCACACTATGTTAATGTATCAGCCTTTAGCCTCATGGGTGCCCGATCCGTTTAGGTTTCACTTTCGAGGAAAATAAGGAATCGGTGTTCCATGCCAGAGACAGGTTAGATGAAGAGAATACTAAGATTACGATTATACCACCATCGTCAAGTAGATTATGAGTTGAAGCACAAATGCTTTAGTTTGGGTAGCTTGCTTCTATCTGACACATGTTAGAGGCTAAGACACTTCACCACTTGTCAAACATGTATGGGATGTTTTTTTTAATGCAATAGATGTGTTAAACACATTAGTTGTACAAAGTCAAAATATGTCCAACATTTGTTAGACATGCATGGAACAATTTTGCATTTGTTAGACATGCATTGAACAATTGTTAACACACATGTATGACAAAAATAATAAAATTTTGGAGCAAAATACATCAACTAATTTTGTAAGCATATATGCTTGTTGAGTTTGAATTTACTTCTGGTTGAAATGATTATTTTTAATAAAATGTCTTTCTCCATGTTCTAGATTTTCTAGAAAAGATGTGTTCTTTACCGTCATACTATTTATACCCATGTTTCTTAGGCTAAGATGGTACCAATGTACTTGAGATGACTTGAACAAGTCATTCGTGGACAACGTTAACATATGCTCGAGCTTCGGATCATGATTACGAAAAATGTTTTAGGAAAGGTGAATAAGAAAATACATTTGAAAAATAGAAGGAAACAACGTTATATGACTATAAGCAAATAAAGGAACACTAGAACTTAAATAACATATAACTTGGGTAATTAGAAGTAAGAACTAGTCATATCTACCTATAGTACATTTTTGGTCATTTTAACCCTAAAAGGTGTGACATGATTTTGGTGAACGATTGTAGACCTCATATAAACACAACATGAAATAATAAAAACTTATCTAAAATGAAAAGATGAAATGGGGTTTTGAAGAGGCATGCGGTCATAGACAAGACATCTTGGACAAGCATGATCAGAACATCCAACATGCAGTTATAGACAACCTATCTTGAACAAGCATAACCGTGATACAAGACAAGAGTACTGTAAATAAACATAAAGAAATTGAATACTATTTGGACTTATAGACAAAATTTGTATTAAGTGAATCCAACTTACATATTCGCACACAATGTATGTACTTAGGGTTCTTAACAATAAATGAATCCTACTTACAAAATTTATTAACCTCGAATTTCTCCTCAAGAGTTGAACTGCTGCTTTCTCCACTCCCACCATCAACATCACTCTCCTCAAAAACCAAATCCTTCTCCAGCAGATCGATTATATTCACTGCTTCAATTGGAATCTCATTCTCCTTCAAACTAGAGGAACACACTGGCTGCTTCAATTCCTTGTTATTTGATTCTAATTCTATCTCATTGTTCTTGGATTCATGAGTTTCAGTGAATGTTCTTGCTTTTGGGCTCGGATTACTCACATAATCATGATCAGATGATTTGGATTGAACGAGTTCCACAGCAGCTCTGGCTGCAGCTGCTGCACAAGCAGCCGACTCGAATGCTGCCTGGGCAGCGTCTCCTACGTCTTTGTACTTCTTTCTTCCTCTCATCGAATCAGCATACCAACTCTCTTTCTCCATCTCTTCAGGTAAAATCTTAAAAACGCCTTCCACTTTGGATTCCTGCATCTATTTTTTAGGCACTCAATAACTCAAGAACTTGTAATGGATCATTAATTTCATTTCCTACCTCAGTTGAAACTTCATAGGCCTCCAAATCTTTCAAAGTAATGCCATTTTCAGAAGCAACTTGTTTAAGTAACTTCAGTTTGATCTCTGAGCTTGGTGGCCTCGCTGACAGCTTCTTTACTATCTGAAAACCCCAAGATTACCACATCATTCAGTGAAAACAGCCAGGGAAAATTGGCATATAAACTCAGAGCAACACCGCTTAAAGTTGAGATCCCATGTCGGTGGGAGAGGAGAATAAACATTCTTTACAAGGGTATGAAAATTTTTCTCTAGCAGACAGCATTTTAAAAACTTTGAAAGGAAACTCGAAAGATAAAACCCAAAGAAACAATATTTGCTAGCGGTGGCTTGGACTGTTATAAATGGTATCATAGCCAGACATCGGGCCATGTGCCAGTGAGGAGGCTGAGCTTCGAAGGGGATGGACACGAGGTAGTGTGCCAGCAAGAACGTTGGGTCCCAAAAGGAGTGGACACGAGACAGTATACCAGCAAAGACGCTGGGCCTGAAGGGAGTGGATTGGGGAGTCCTACATCGATTGGAGAAGGAACCAATGCCAGCGAGGACGCTGGGCACCGAAAGGGGTCGATTGTGAGATCCTATATCGATTGCGATTGTGAGATCCTAATCGATTGGGGAGGAGAACGAAATATCCTTTATAATATTTTCTAGCAGTCGATTTAGGCCAAATAATGAGAACATAAAAGCAAAGCATACCATTGGACCAACAGCACAATTGTTGCGCAACTCCATAGCACGAGCAGTAAACTCCTTGCCAAAACGACTGGTAATGGCTGAACGAATCTCTATCAGCTCAGGGAAATCCCCACATCTAGAAGATGCAAAAATCAAACCTGAAATTGCCTCCTTCAGTTCTTCTGGACATTCTCTACATAATCAATAACAAAATTATCAGAATCAGACCAAAGCCATCTCTTTATGTTCACATTTACAGGTTCATTTACGGACCTCTGTTGTTCAAGTAGCTTGATTCTTTCAAGTACAGCCTCACAGTAACTCTCTATAATCACATACGCATCCAGCAGTTTCTGGTCCTTGATCACTTGCTCAACCTGTCAAAGACTCCTATTATATAAGCTTTGAAGGTTATGGAGCCGAAACCCATGTTTGAAAGTACTTCAAAAATGATCTTACACGAAAGAGGGCTCTCTCTTGGTGGCCAAGCTGAAGCAACTGAACTACGTCAGAACGAGCCTGGGAGGATCTCACCTGGCGCTGGTTTGCAAGGACAGCGAGCCGAGAGATGGCCAGATTGACCAGAGATTTGAACCTCGTGGTGTTGAAGCTTCTTCCCAGCAGTGCATCAAGCTTCTTCCCCATGCTCAATAATGCTCCACCGTTTCTGAGAGATCTTTGTTATGGAGGAATGAAGAAATATATATATATATATATATATTGATTATCAACGATCACATTGATAATAGTCAGAGCACACGCACATATTTTTTAAGAAGCATCAATTTCAGGTGTGGACAAACGAAGGGACGAAACTACGATAGAAATAGACGTAATAGTTACAAGTAAATGAAACAGGGCAAGAAAAAAAGGGAAGGTTTGACGCGGTTGGCGTGTAAGAAACACTTCACCAAGATCATATCAGAGTAAACAACGGGCAAAAGAGAAGGGTCTTTCCAAAGAACTGGAAGTGTTGGATTTTTCTAGTCTTCCACCAAAATTGTCAAGACCTGTAGTAAAGATTGGATTTTTTCAGAACTAATCTATAGCAGCGAGGATTAAAAGTACCTAATTTCCATAATTCCTTCCTTGATTACATCTTTAATAGAGAAGGAAATCTGGACAATTATTTTGCTGGTCAATTGAAAATGATGATACCAAGATCATCTGTTTCTTTCTATGATTGGGTCAATTATACCAACCAGTCTTGCTGTAAATGCAAATCTGAGTGAGTTTTCTCAACTACTTTTCTGATGACTAACACGTAACAACAATTTCATGGATATTGCCTCTTGCTATAAACAACCAAAAGATCAACAAGACTCTTTCTATTACAGTCTTAGACCTCAGGCATTTGTTTAATTTCAATTATGCCCTTTCTCCATCTCATTTTTTTCAATAGTGCCCCTTCTAGAGAGTCAAATTTCATAATTTTTTTGCTAATTACGAAGATTAACCTTTTGATTATTTTGCTTTATTAAAATTAAGAAAAGTGGTTTTTGTTTCTGGAATTTGGCCAAGGATCAAAATGTAATTAATGGATAGATAGATGATATTTAGATATGGTATTCAGCGGAATTTAGCTTAATGATTCTTCGTAAAATAATTGATATAAAACTAAGTCAATAATATCATTTCATCTGTCGAATTAAATTAAGCATTTCACAGACATGTATTAATAAAACTAGTTTATTCACAGAATTTGGTTGGTACAATGTTATCAACATGAACTAAAATCTTCAGAGATAGGGATCAATTCTGATGAACGGGTGATCGGGATAATCCCAGGGAAAATTGTACCAGCATCTTGCTCCTGGAAATTAATTTTTACGGGAGCTTGAAAAGCAATGCTTCTGATTACACCGAGCCATACGCACCTCATTGGAGATGAAATTGTAAACTATACAGCATTGGACACAACAGAACACAAGATACGGCACCTGCTTTAACCCAATGTTACAGTTAACCAGCACAAAAAAACCAGTACTAAACTATAGATTAAGTCCTTAGAAAGTTAATCTCCGTAGGATGAAGACAGACATTAAGCATCCTCTAACAGTACGAGTATAAGCTGCTTAATGGAAAGCAGAGAGGAGAAATGACTTAGGCTTAGGCTTCATGCTGCCAATACAAATAAAGAAAAGAAATTCTTGATGAAAAGATATACGGCAACAGAAACAAATAGACCTGCCTGTAAAGAACTCTGAAATTTATCACAGGGAGTAATTATCGTGCATGTGTATTATCCACTTGTCTTAAATGCAATCAAATTAAGATCCCAAAAATTACTAGTATAACAAGTATGTAAAAGACGCGAAAAAAAAAAAAAAAAAACGGAAATGTCCATAACATTATGTCATTAACGCATGAGAGTCCAACAATATACCATGTGCATAATTAATGCGACAACTGATATCCTAACCACGATGCAACAGAACAAAAGATCAAATTACAATCAATTCCAATGTGTAGATACACATTAAATTCGTACTGAGAATCTAACAGAATTTGATAGCAAAATAAAACTTAAACGGGCAGTTAACAGATATAATAGTATGAGAATAAACAATTCAATCCAAGCTAGAGGGATTGGTACTGAACAAACCCAAGAGGGGCATTTTTCTGAAACCTTGAAATCATCTAAACTGTAGGTGTCAAATAAACAAATACTGGAGGAGGAGTAAAAGAACTTCAATCACTTTCAGGAATTCACTTGTGGAGAAGCAATTAAACAAAACAGGTAATTAGAGAGTAAGCAACATTAAATAATAAGCTATATGGAGGAGAGTGAAATCAGTGACCTTGAATATAATCGACATAACTAGACCAAACAGTGAAATGAACTAGATATTAAACCTTCGTAGTCAATACCACGAGAAATGATTATAACAAGCACGCATTAGAAAGCCTCCAGCAAAGAAACAAAGAACCTCATTGGATTGTGTTCATAACTGATAAATACCTTCACAATCCAACACTCCAAACCACAGAAACAAGAGGCATCTCACAAGGCCATTTGATTTTCAATCTTTTACTCTTCTCCTCCGAAATCATCTAAAATTACCTATTTTGTATGGCCTTTCTTCAAAAGTCTTATCTTTAAGTCCGGGCCAGCCCATAATCCCAGACTTTTGATTTTCATAAGTCCTATTTTATTCAAATTATATATATATATATATATATATATTAAGATTTATTCATTATTTTTCTATTGAATTTTAAAACGATAATAACATAATTCAAAATTCAAACTCTTGGTCTCAATTATAAGCTAAAGCTTCTTGGCAATTCGGCATGAAATAGATTGCACTCTATGAATAAAGGTATACGAATTCTAGTAGAATTTTCTGGACAAGTAAATGTGATTTTGAGTAGAATTATTCCTTTAACCAACTAATTTGAGTGGCAAAGAAATCAACTTGTGATGTGCTTTAGCATAGCATTTCATATGTGAAACTACAATTAATGGATATAAATGAAATTTACGGGAAAAAAAAAAAAAATCCTAATCACAATATTCTTACCACAGGAACACCAGAATTTATGATTTCTAGTAACTTCCATCTCACCTTCGAAATAATAGCAGAAGGCTTTTGGGTTGATTGATCATCATCCTTCTGTATACACGCATCCCTAATCGAAAGCTTTTTTATCCAACAGATATACATATGGTTCACTATTTTTTATGCATCTTATTTCTAATAAAATGATGGACCATTTTTATGATACATCATAGAAGAAATTTAAATCACTGTAACACTTCAATGATAAAAATAAAACTTCCTTAAATATGTCAGCCTTCCATAAATATTGATACAAAAATTCATTACTATTTTAAAACATCTATTTATTTCATATTCATTCAATGCTTTTTGGTTCATGATATCTGATAATCTAATGCTTCCATTATAATCAAATTATTATGCATAAGACAAGTATTTATCATATCCTGAAGATGGAAAGGAAATCGAGCTATTATCCTTCATATTTTCACTACCTGGCATCATTGCACTTTTACTAAGAAATCATACACAAGAATATTATAACCTTGCAATAGTTATATGGAATTGGAAATACTTACAAGATAATGGGGATGATATGCAGTTCGCCCTAAAAAAAGAGAACAAAATCCAAATGAGACAATGAACCTTTAAAAGTAAACTTGTAGGTTCTGATCACACATATTTTAAAATTAAAAAAAAAAAAAAAAGAAACACATATAACTACTTTACTCACTCCAACACTACTTCACATGGTGCCACAGTGGTTAACCTCTCCAATGCGGGTGCTTCCATAAACGACTATACCATGGATCAGTACAATGCAATCATTAGGTTTCATTCAAACTAAAGACGTCAAATAAATTTTGAAGACTACAATAAATTTTAACATGATTCAATACTGCCAAGCAACATTTCAAAGATTACTGCATGATCAATAGTTCAAAAGGTTCGGATGGAATAACAATCGCTTGCACATTAAATAGACTGTTATACATGAATTAATATAAAGAGGTGATAAATAAAAGTTCTTGTTGTACACCCTCTTATCGATTACTAGCATATCCTCATTCTCCAACCACCCTCCACTGGTGGTAGGTTTTGCATAATAAAATAAATAATGATCACAAATACACATACATCTAACCTCAAGGAAAATAACAAGACAGGCTTCTTAACTAATATCAACGCGGTCACAATTTTCTCCCAAAAAAACAATCCAAGGTACCTTCTCCAGAGTGCCTCTAAATCACTTAAGCACTGGAAGGTTCTCTCAGAGCAGAAGCAGAGATCCTGAAGGAAAAACTATATTAGACACTTGAGAACCTGAAAGCAAGAAACAAAATGGCTCGAGAGAAAGAGGTGGGAAGAGAGAGGACAGCAGAAGATAACATCTTGCCAGCCTCCATATTAGTAAGGAAAACCGCCAAGTATTGTACAAAAAACCAAAATAAAAAATAAGCACTGCATATAAACCACAAACCATCTTCAAAAAAAGAACAAACTTTATTTACCAAAGCACTAAAACTTAATAGATTTTTTTGTCCTTACTATTCCCTGCAAGCACAACTGCAGAAATGGTGTTTGAAGTACAAAATAAAAGAAATAATGTGGAAAACAAGTATGGACAAGATTTTCATAATGGTCACAATAAAAAATGATTACAAGGCGAAGAAACGCTTTCAGCAAGTTGTCTTACAATAGAAACAGTACATTCCACTGAAAGAACCCGCCACTCTTGACCAATATGACCTCTTCTGAATTCAATCATCCCATAAGTGTGCCAGAAGCTTAGGTCATCATAAGGAAGACTGGTAATACCAAGTGATTAGAAACTGTATGAATTAGGTCATAATTTACAAGAAATCTACTGAACTCTGGTGTCATAAAAGCAGCAGCATTGATCACTTGCCAGTGATGAATGGATGATTCAATGCTTGTGATACTGTCATCCTTTTTTCTGGATCCAACACAAAAATTTTGTCTAGAAGATCCTTAAAATTGGCTAACATCTTTGGATCTTCACCAGGAGATCCCCTAATAATTGATCCAATATCTTTAGGCTTTATATTGACTATTATTCGCTTTATGGTCTGCAAAAGTAGAATTCAAATCTCAGTCAGTACTGATAAGGCTGTCATAGGTAGCGCCACATTCAAAATGCAATACCATTCACACACAAACGCACAAAACAGCGTTTAAAATCTTTTACCGGATGATATTTGCTCTAAAAACTTCAAAAATAAACTTTGATGTCCAGAAAATATAAATAAATTGTAATCATATACCGCAGCAAATTTCCAGTAAAATTTTGGTGGCACAGCACACACAAGTGGGTGGCTTTGGACCCCGAAATCAGAAAAAAGGATAAATAATTACCTTTTTGGTTACAGGATCCTCTTCAGAAGCATGGAAGTTCAGGTCCTGGTCAAAATGTTGCTCAGTAAATGCTCCCTGTAAAACCAATAGGAGAGGAAAAATCATCATTAGCAATAAACAAGTTACAACTTTAACTCGTAAATTAGAGACATTGTAATTAAAAAAAATCTCCTGTCCTGTCCTTTGGAGGACAAAACTATGTACCTTACGAAGCATCTTTTTCTGAAAGGGGCCCTTTAATTCCATGTGTAGACGCAGCATGTCATTATTAGAAGGACCAGGAAAAAGAACTTTTCCTGTAGAAAGCTCGTACAAACAGCAACCCACAGACCAGATATCCATTGGATGGTCATATGGCAACCCTAAAACTGCAACATGCAAAGAAAATTAGAACTAGAGTTTACTTGGAGAAAGAAATGTTCAATAACATATGAAAACAGGTGCACCATTTTGACCACCAGATTCAACAGATGGAAAAAGAAAAAAAAAAAAGGAACTAAGAAAACTCACTTATTTCAGGGGCACGATAAAACCGGCTAACAAGGTATGGCGTGATTTCATTTTTACCAGCAAACATCGCATTTCCAAAATCACAAAGCTTCAGAACATTTTTTCCCTCGTTAACCTGGAAATTTTATCAAGCATCGTGAGAAACATAAGATCAACCAATTCAATAGAATCAAAACTTGAAAACATACCAGCATATTATCCGGCTTTATGTCACAGTGTAGAACACCACAGTTTCTTAAATGCTTCAGGGCAATAAAAAGCTGCTTAGCGTATGCCCTCACAGCAGTTAGCTTAAGGCCAATATTGCGCCCAAATTTCTTCAAGACCTCACGGAGATTCATATGAAGAGATTCAAAAACTAAACAAAGATGATTCCTATATTTGAAACTTGAAAGAAAACGAACACAGTGACGCTTGTCATCTGGATCTGCACCTACTAGCTTTTTCAATATGACCAACTCCTCCAGACCAGCCTTGTACCTGTACATCACAGAATGCAATAGAGCATCAAGTAATTGAACACGCAACAAAAGGAACACCACAATAGGATCACTAGAAATAAAGCAAGCAAGACATACATTGTTTCATTACTACGTAAAATTTTGATTGCCACTTCTTCTGGTTCGCCATGACCAGCTTTGAGATCCTTTGCACGGACTACAGTTGAAAAGACACCTTTTCCATGAGCAGCAGCTATTTCATATCGACTATCAAGCACTTCACCAAACCGATAGTCTATATTCAACACAAAAGTTGAATAAGCAAAGACCATATGAATTAAATACATTTTTTAAATGCAAAAAAATAAACAAATAAATTATAGAACCTAAAAATTAGCGACAAGTTGATTAAAATAAATGATCAGTTTCTTCTGCAATTCCTCCAAGACAATAAAAAGAATGAAACTAACCAGTCAACAACTACACAAGATTACCAGAAGGCTTAATGTGGATCCCACCAAGATGATCAGAAATGTAACAATTTACATATCACTCATTTTAAAATCGACAGCATCAGCACAGAGGCAAAATAATCCTTGTTTTGGAGACTCAAATGCAAGTTAACAGCATTAAATTCTGGATAGGCTAAAGCAAGACCAAGGATCCATTGATGTGTATGTTGATAGTTATATTTCTAATACGATGTATTGTTAAAATTTAAACACACCATAATATAATCTGTGATTCCCATTTTAATTATAATTCTCACCATACAAATTCCGCAGCCATGATTATTAATACAATAACAAGTGAATTGAAGACCATCTATAAATGTCAGCCGTACAGGCGAGATACCAAAGATGGATATACTTACTATAATATCCATCTGCATCATCCCAATTGTCATGAAAGCCACTCCTCTCTATCTGCAAACCATCGCCTTTGCCCTGCCAACAAGAAGAAAACAAAATATCTAAATGCCCTTATACAATATGAAACAAATCAAACTGCAAAATGGACAGGTTCTAATACCATTTTACGAACTGCAGCAGGTGTTTCTCCAAAAATGTCATCACAGAATAATCCATCTGATCCCTCAGCCTGCACTTATTAATATGAATAAATTTTAAAATTATAAAAGGATCCATCTTCTCAAAATAAAGAATATAACTACGGGAGCAAAAAATTGCAATAAATGGAGCTCAAAAGAGACTACAAAGTTCAGAAAAACAGAGAGGAATCTACCCTCTAATAAAAGAGAGCATTCTGCGCACCTTTGGAGTACCCTCTCCAAGTCCTTTAGTACCAGCAGTGTTATCAGATGCAGCTACTCCATTTTGATGTGGTGATTTCTCCACAATAAAAGATGAGTCAGCAACACTATCATCCACAGCCCCATCAACCAATTTTGGAACAGCATGAGCAGCAGCTTCTGATTGAGAAGAATCATTTGCAGAATCCTTATCTGATCAAGATAAATCACTGTATTAAAGTGAGATTGAGGTAGTTACTACACTGTCTATCTAAGCTGCAGACCTACCAAAGTCTCTAAACTCTGTCAGACCATCTGAGCTCATCTCTAAAAGGCAAACAAAAACCAACCAGACTCAACATTGCAGACAGACAAGATTTACAAATTAACCTAATCCTTAAATAAGCTTATACTCATTGTGGGAAAGTGAACTTCCTATCAGTAAATTGTTCAACAACAAAAAGAAGAAATTGGAGGGGAGGGGAGGGAGGGGTGAAATGCTACGATTATACAGTAGGAAACTTAAGAGTGAGAAGAAGGCAAGTCTATGCACAGAAGGTTGGCAAAATGTAAGTCCAAACTTGCTGGTTTCTCAGCTAATTGATCATAACTTCCTGATTGAAAATAATTGTAGTCCAAATCCAAGTAAATGCAGAAATTTAACCTTTCTCAGATTCCTTCAAAGAAGGCTCTACTTGTTTCTCCAACTGCTGGCATTTGTACTTTTCTAAGATTGCTTGCCTCCGTCTTCTACTCTCCTCCTTGATTCTGTTAAGATCCTCCTCTTCTTGATCAGCTAATTGAAATGACATGCTGTCTCCGTCCTCTTCCTCCTCATCGTGATCACTATACAGGAAGAGGAGTTGAACCATTAAATGAAGATGGATTTCATCTAGCTAAAGGTAACCAAAAGATAAATAAAAATAAAAATTACCTCACTAGCTTGTCTTCACCTCCTTCCAGACTAATTCTCTTAAAACTACCATGCTTTCCAACAGCATTAACTCGTCCCCCATCCTGACCAGATTCATTATCATAATGCCTAGGCTGCTTAGAACCTTTAGCATAGCCATGCTCAAGAATCCCATACTTGTCTTTACTACTTACAATGTCGCTGGCTTCATTTTTGTTTCTATTGTCTCGTCTCTCCCTATCTAATTCTGTATCCCTAAACCGGTCCTTCTGCATCTCTCTCACCCTTTCCCTGTCTCTATTCCTATCACTATATTCAGCCTTATTGTCATTCCGATCCCTCTCCTTATCTCTTCTCACATTCCAATCCACTTCTGTGTCCTTGCTCCTATCTTTTTCCATTTCTCTTCTTCTATCCCTATTACCCTCTCTATCTCTGCTCCTACATCTTTCCTTTTCTGCTCTTCTATCCCCATCCAACTCTCTTTCCTTGCTCCAACCTCTATCCCTCTCCACTCTTCTATCTCTTTCCACCTCTCTATCCCTCTCCACTCTTCTATCCCTTTCCACCTCTCTTTCCCTCTCCACTCTTCTATCTCTTTCCTTCACTCTCCTATCTCTTTCCACATCCCTTTCCCTCCTCCTATTCCTTTCCAACTCTCTTTCCTTGCTCCTATTTTGTTCCATCTCCTTTCTTCTATCCCTACTTCTTCCTCTCTCTCTCTCATCATACTTTTGCTTATCTATACCCCTATCTTTATCTTTGTTTTTTTCCATTTCATTTTCCTTTGACCAGTCCCTATCCACCTCCATCTTACTTCTCCGTCTGTCCTTCGTATCCCTGCTTTGTTGCCTTCCTTCATTCCTAGCACGATCAGTATAACCGTCATCCAAGTCATTATGAATTTTACTTTTATCATCAAATATTGCGTGATCCCAACCATGATGATGTCTTCTCCTTGACTCTGCCTCCTCTTCTACTGTTTCACGAGAATGAGATTGCCCCCTAGAATGACAATTTGACCTTGATCTACTCCTGCAATCTGATGTGTCAATGAATCGATCATGAGATGTTGATGGCGTCAAATCCTGAGACTTGTCTTCTGCCCTTTCTAACTGTGGCCTTTTCAAATAACTCAAAGTGCTTCCATCTGTTGCCACCTTTCCATGGTCATTGTTGCTTATTTTCTTAATACCCCATTTGGAAGGAGATAACATTTGTTTGTTCTGCCTCTCATCTAACTCCATAGATTTATGATCATAACCATCTTTGAGATGATCCTCTCGGCAACATTCAAGATCATTGTATTTAATTCCAGTCATTTCACTTATGGAAAAGCTAACATCATTGCCATGCTTACAGTCAGACTCAGTTTGATCGAGCAACCTGATTTCCTTGTCTCTGTCTTTTTTTAGATAAGAGCCACCTTTGTCCTTATCTAAATTATAGAACTTACTGTCCATTTTCGAGGTTTTCTGATCCTGAGGACTGTTTACTGCTCCCTCCTTCACAGTTAAATTAGCCTCGATATTAGATGATTCATCCACCGAATGACACTCCTGCAAAACGAACATAGATTAAATACTTAGTGCAGATGCTTGCATTACAAAATCCCAGAGAAATTACAGTCAGACAGTATAAATGCATAGTAGAAAACACGTAACCAGATCTTACAAATTAAATGCAAGCCTGAATCTTCATTGAAACGCCTACTGATACTTCTTTTGCATTTCACTTGTATTCGTGAGGTGTAATCATATTCTTACATGTGCAAGAAACACTGAGTAAATCTAAAAAAACGTCACCATCACCATTCCATCATAGTATAAGATTAAATACAAGAAATGAATCCAAAGTTGACAACTGACACGAACGAAGAAAGGAACATGTACCTGTAAAGGTCATTGTTCATTGTTCACAGACAGTTAAAAACGCCTTTGTTCATTCTCTAAGAGAATCGAACCTTCAAGTTACATTCGATTTTCAAACGTTAACAATCCTAGTCTTTTCTCAAACTTCCACGGCAATCAAACAGAATGTACGAGTAGAGCAACAAGCAACTTGTCAAACTGTCATAAAATTGTGTTGGTTGGGACCTTACCTTAGTGGGCCGGACAATTCTATCAGAATTTTTATCAGCTTCAAGTTCCCCAACTTCCATATCCGCCTCCTTCATCGCGCTCTCATTCTCGCGAACGCCGGACTCATCCTCCTCGAGAATTTCACCTTCCTCGACGTCATCTTGGGGTCGAGACCAACGATTAGCAACAGGAGGAACACTGTCCTCCTGGTCACGGCAGCTTTCTTCTTCATTCTTATTGCTGCTGTGACGATGTCTGTGGTGGCGGCGATGGTGACGGTGTTTGTGACGCTTCGAAGATTGACCGTCCTCCTCATCAGAAGCAGATCGGCGGTACTTCCTGTGAGCAGTATCGTTAGCCATCGGCGTCGTAAGAAATCTAGGGTTTCACTCTCAAACCTTTTCGCTGTGTAGGCGCCTTAGGCCTCCCGCGAACAGAGTGTCGTGAGGAGATAACTGTAGCTGGTAGCCTTACAATAATTATTTTACTGTTATTTATTTAAATAATATCCTTAATATGAATTTTGCTTCAAAAAGAGTTTAATTTTTATCCTTAATATTTTCGACAATTTTATTACATTATTTAATTTAGATTATTAACTTTTTAACTATTTTATTTCTCTCCTCGTTCTCCCAATTATTCTGATATTTCCAGTTTTCCCCTACATTTTCACTCTTCATAAGTGGTATAATTTTAATTTTAAACTTCTGATTTTGCTAATTTAATATAAGAGTTTAAGGAGCATATCAGTTAATACTTCCGAACGCCTTAACAAGATTTTACATGCATGTTATAATTCCCATGATAGTTAATTATTTATTACAAATTTAACATAAAAATAGATATATCGTTCTTTATCATGAAAATTCTGACGACAACAAATAATCATTGTATTTCCTTTATCTTCAATGTTTAAGCTCGACTAAATTGTAGATAAAAAAAAATAAAAATTGCTGTGATAGATAAAGTTACATTCATGATTGTGGAATACAATGAATTAGTCGTAGTTGACTTTGTTATCCTTTTTGACAATCATATGAAGTATGAATACAACATCGTTGACACAAATGAAGGGGATAAAGATTAGGGCGATGGCAATTTTAATAGCCTTGCATCTGTTGCGGTAGAATGAGGATATCTAACTCGAGGACAAGGACAAAATTGGAACTTATTCCCTTTCTTTCTTTAAGAATTATAATCTACCTTGAACTGCTTATTTAAATGAAAGTTACTAGATTAGAAGTTTGAATCCTAACTTAAAAAATTAAAGTTAAATTATAAGTTTAAAACAAAATTTCATATTATAGGAACTAGAGTATACATTTTAAAGTTTGACGAACTAAATGGATATCAACTTGAAACTATATTTTGTCCGATATTATATATATATATATATATATATATATTTTTTTTTTATAGAACAACACAATTGCCTTATTGATATCAACACTCTTGAGACACATTTGTGTGTCTTCGTTCCACCCTCAAGGTCATCTAACTGAACTTCTTGTCCGATTAGACAACAAAGTATAGCTCTAATACCAATTGTCACGGTCGTACATTTTCAACTGTGCAGCGTTATGATCTTAACATATTCATGACAAGCCTTGAAGCTGCGAGGAAACCCCATCTCCACTTGATTTTCGTCCATATGTATGGCTTTGTTGGACCTTAAATGAAGTTTGCATTTGGCAATCGAAGATAACTTGTGCAAAATTTAATTTCGTTCAACCACACTGCTGCCTATGCGTACATAACACATAATTTTTGTTAATGTGCGAGGAGAGTGTTAAACTTTCAAATTTGTGTTGAGCAGGAGTTCAACTTTAGAAAATTTAACATTTAAAATTATATTAACATAATTATTAAATTTAAAATATGTATAATGAGTGAATAAAATTTTAAAAATACAAAACGTACTCAATAATATTTAGAGATTTTTTTTTTTTTTTTTTGAAAATGTATTAAATAATTTAAAGTTTAGTAATATATTTGACGGTATTTTTAAAAAACAAAAATTAAAATGAAATAATGGCTGAACATAGTTTTATTATTATTATTATTTAAAAATCTTAATTGAAGAAAAAAATAAAAATAAACTAAAATTGAAAGCTTTGAGTGAGCCAAATGTGGGCGATGGAAACATAGTTGAGAGGTAGCTCAAATACCCCAACCAACGCCTCGGCCTCTCCGCCCTCTTTCTTATACTTCTCTTCCACCGCCCACTCTAACAGTTCGTTTTCATTTCTCCAATGGCGTCCTCGTTCCTCTCTCGTGCTGCTCTCTCCAGCAATACCACTGCCATTTCATTTTCCTTCTCTTCTTCCATCTCTTCTCCCCTCCCATGGAGCTCTTCCCGTTCATACACCTCCTTTCCCGCTAATTCTCGTCGGAGGATTCCTGTCGTTCAATCCAAGATCCGCGAGATTTTCATGCCTGCCCTAAGCTCTACCATGACTGAGGGAAAGATCGTTTCGTGGGTCAAATCTGAAGGGGACGTTCTATCCAAAGGAGAGAGTGTCGTCGTTGTGGAGTCTGACAAGGCGGATATGGATGTGGAGACTTTTTATGATGGAATTCTCGCCGCTATTGTTGTTGGAGAGGGTGAAACTGCCCCTGTTGGAGCTCCTATTGGTTTATTGGCCGAGACTGAAGAGGAGGTCGCTGAGGCTAAGGCTAAAGCCGCGTCAAAATCCGCGGCTCCTTCGTCTCCTGCTGCTGCTGTTTCTCCCTCTCCTCCGCCTCCCTCTTCTAGTCCTGCTCCGGCGACATCTCAGCCATCGCCTCCGCCGCCCACGGCTGCGTCGGATGGACCAAGGAAGACTGTGGCTACCCCTCAGGCGAAGAAGCTAGCCAAACAGCACAAGGTGGATATTGGATCCATAACCGGTACTGGTCCATTCGGTCGAATTACTCCGGCAGATGTGGAGGCTGCGGCAGGAATTGTCCCTTCGAAGCCTGCTGTAAGCAATGTGGCTTCACCCGTGGCCTCTGGGATTGCTCCAGTGGCTGCCGCTGCTCCAACGAAAGCTGCTGCAGCTCCTTCCAACTTGCCTCCTCCAGTTCCGGGCTCAACGGTTGTGCCATTCACGACAATGCAGGCGGCGGTGTCTAAGAATATGGTGGAGAGTCTCTCTGTTCCTACATTCCGAGTTGGTTATCCGGTATCCACTGATGCTCTTGATGCGCTCTATGAGAAGGTACATGAAATGTTTACACGATTTAGTTGGATTTTTGCTTATTTTGCATCTTTTTGGAAACTATTGACCATCTAGTTGGGGTATTACAACGATTCAGGTGAAACCAAAGGGTGTCACAATGACTGCCCTCCTGGCCAAGGCTGCTGCAATGGCCCTCGCTCAGCATCCTGTTGTAAATGCAAGCTGTAAAGACGGTAAGAGCTTTACGTATAACAACAACATAAATATTGCAGTAGCCGTGGCTATCAACGGTGGGTTGATAACTCCTGTTCTTCAGGATGCAGATAAGGCAAGTCGATTACATTGCGTATTAATGTCGTTGGATGTACAATGCCCGGATATAGATATTGTTTCTTTTGGGTTTCTTCTTATTTATTCATTATTCATTGCAGTTGGACCTCTACCTACTGTCTCAAAAATGGAAAGAATTGGTAGAGAAAGCCAGATCCAAGCAGCTTCAGCCCAATGAGTATAATTCAGGTACCAACACTTCCTTCTCTCTCAGTTCGAGTTTGCGGGCATGAGAATTTATTTGTTGTACTTAACCTATGAGACAGAGTAAAATTGAGTTAATACTGCCTGTAGGAACTTTTACTCTTTCCAATCTGGGCATGTTTGGAGTGGACAGGTTCGATGCTATACTTCCTCCTGGCCAGGTGAGTAATGAGCGTTAGGCTACTTATACATAGGCAATATGGTTTTGTTGGTCCCTTTGTGTTTTGTGTTGATTATTTCACAATACGTCAGGGGGCTATCATGGCTGTTGGAGCATCAAAGCCGACCGTTGTCACTGATGCTGATGGCTTTTTCAGCGTGAAAAGTAAAATGTTGGTGAGTTCTGTTTCTTCTAACATTTTGTTACGTTCTCATCTTTATTTATTATTTATTATGAATGCTGAATTTAAGGTTAGTTAGGAACTGATTAAGCCAATAAGCCATCTAAATTACATTGAACTGTATTCATGGATAATGATCAACACAATGATTCTCATTCTATTCCAAGTTATCTACTTCAAGGGGTTTTTTGGGGTTAAGTTTTGCAAGGACTGTTAACAATAGTTTAGCAGAGGAATGGAAAGCGTGGGAATAAGGCAAGGCTATGCTTAAGTTTACACAGGAACTACAAGCGTTTGGTTGATAGTAATGAGATCTGTGAGATGTGATTTTGATCTGTATCTTTTTACTATCTCATATCTACTGATATGTTTTATATAGTAGTAACCTAGCATGGAGAGAAACAGAGGGTTCTGTAGAGAAGAGGTCAGATTTGTCCTTGTTTCGTCCCAGGAGTCATCACTAGTGTCCAAGGAGAAGTCATTTAGCCTCTATCATTAAGATTCCTTCTGATATTCAAGTTCCATCAATAAGAGGGAATGCCGCATTGGCTAATTAATAAAAACAAGATGCTTTTGAAAGTAGGCAGGGAAGCCACTTAACCTTTCCTTAAGTCTTCCCAAGAAAGGATTCTCTTACCCTTACGAATCGATTTTGATCCTTTTGGCCATGACCTGCTCAAGATTGGATATATATTGCCCTAACTATTTATGATTTGAACTAATGCATCTTTCCTTTAACTGTGGCCAACCGAATGGAAGTGTCTTTGGTGCCCTGTCCCATTTTTCTTACTGTAATATCTTCAGTTCGGTTTGTCAGTTTTGAAGCCACTGAATTTATGATTTTATGTTGGTTGGTGAACTGAGGACCTTAAGGTGGGCCGACCAGCCTAATGTTGGTTGGCATACAACACACAGGCCTAAACCCATGTAACCACAAATTTCCACTTCTTTGTTTTTGAAAAATGGCCAACCAGACATAACATAGGCAAAAGTTTCTTGAATTGGATTGAAGGTGCAAAACTTGCCCCTCTAGACATTATTAGAGATAGCTACATTCATAATGATGTTTCATATCTCCACAATGTAGAGGCTGGTAAAATTTCTCTGTTCCTCTTATTCATTCCACAATTATTTTCTTTTGTTCTGGTGTGGTGTGCAAAGCTTCTTGTCTAGTGAATGCTGGCAGAAATCCTTTGTAGTGTATAGACGCCTTCTGTGAAACTGAACTGACTGGCAAATTCTGCATTTGGCAGGTGAATGTGACTGCTGATCACCGAATAGTTTATGGTGCTGACTTGGCTGCCTTCCTTCAGACCTTCGCAAAGATAGTTGAGAATCCAGAAAGCCTGACCTTGTAGAAAGTCTTCATTTGCAAGCTTCAACATCAATTAAACTTGACTGCAAGAAGAATAGGCAAAATCTTTTTTTCTTTTTGGCCACGGAATGATGTAAGTTTGAGTTAAACAGAGTCCCATCGGAATGCTTTTTGTGCAGGAGCCAGGAGGTCCTATGGATACTTTATTTCGTTGTACTTCAAATTTATTTTATTTCTAGAAGATTTGAAGAACAATAATGAGTTGATTTACTTTTTCTAAGTTATTGCGTACGGGAAATGTGTTGGTAGAAACTCATTGGATGAAGAAAGATTGTTTTGATGTTGGTTCTTCAGCAGCTTCTTACTTTAAACTTGTGCCTCTCCGTAGATGTTTAAAGAAGTGCTTCCTGTGAATGGTCTATTAAGCACAATAGTTTATGTGAAATCATTTCCCTTTTGCTTTATAATTGAAAGACCTAAAAGTAGCAAGATTTATCTGATATTCGGATACAATCTGACATGTTATGAATTCAAATAATCTATACACACACAATAACACTAAACAAAATGTGTATTACAAAGAACTTTTATGAAAGTGTTCAGACATATAATGTATAATCTGTTTGAAGAGCCAGCAAAAGGCTTCTTTTTTTTTGTTTTTTTTGTTCTCCTTACCAACTCAGTTGAGATGAGCAGGGGCTTAGACAGGATAGTGAAGAATCGATTGTCTATGGAAGGAGGTGAAAGTCACCAGTCCAAGGCGATATTCCTAGAAATGTAAAGATTGTCAATATATTCTATGACCGGACCGGATGCATCAATATACCTTCTCATTTTCTTCTCTGCTGATTGATCTGCAATGGTGAAAGAGGTGCTGTGAATTTATTTGTGCGCACAGACATAGTTAGCTATATAATTAGGAAGAGTAAGCATACTGGTTTCGTTGAGCTTTAGCAGAAGCTGCTCCCTCGTTGGAAGAGTATACATTCCAGCAGAAACTGCTGTTCTGACTGTCCAGCTGTGGTAGGGTGCACAAACTTGGGCATAAGCTGTTGAGGCCGCATCCCTTAACGAGTATTCACTAAAGATACAAGTGAGAAGCTAATAAGTTCACCCCTTTCTGATATTCAAATAAGTTATGGCCTCTTGGTTATCAACCCGAGCATAGCTTAGTTGGTTTAAGCATGTACCCTGACTAACTATATGAACTCTTAATTGTTGAGAAATGTTAGGAGAGAGTTCCATATTTGCTAATTTAAGATCATGGGTTTATAAAAAGGAATATCTCCATTGGTATGAGGCATTTTGGGAGAAGAGATAATATAATACCATTGTGAAGAATCAGTTATGTCCAGCTTAGTGATGTCAATTGAATCCTCAAATGTCGAACAAAGAATTGTGAGTTTCAAAGGTATAGTAAAAAATGATTAAAGTGTCAAACAAAGGGTATACATTGTTCGAGGGCTCCAGAGAACGAGTCGAGCCTCGATCAAGGGAGAGACTGTTCAAGAGTTCCATAGGCCTCATGAGAGGCTCTCAAGGGAAGAATTGTTGAGAATTTTTGGAAAGAATAGTTGAGAGGGAGTCTTACATGGACTAATTTAAGGAATGATCATAATTTTAGTAAAGAATTCGAGAGCTTTTAGTGAAAGTAGACAGTATCATAACACCGTGGAGGTTTGTTATTTCAACATCAATTACAAGAGATCCCAAAATTTATTTAAAGGAACAAATTAAGATTTACTTATCCTCTGTTTGGAATAAAGAAAGTTAGAAATGATTTTCAATTTTCAACCTCGTTAGTTGTTCGCTCGTTCATTTGTCCAAAAACATTCGACAATTTTTTATGAGCTTCGGAGAACCATTGACAACAAAGGAAATGATCATTCCTAGCTCACTTCAGACATTAATCCTTCCAAAAAAACAAAAGAATAAGGCACAGCAGATTCAAAATGAACGCAACCAACCAACCAGCAAAAGAAATGGCAGAGGAATCAAAACAAGAACACAACTTCTTCCATCTTGATTGCAGATGCAGAAAGTAAGAGAAAAAGAGGCCATAACTTACTCAGTGGACATGAATTGTTCAAACAGAGCTCTAATAAGGTCCAATCCTTGTCTAACTCGACGCAGATTGCGAGAATGGCTTCCTGGTGTCTTTACTGTGTCATTTGCAACATCAGCATCAAGTATTGTAGGCACAGTCACGTGCTTCTTGGAAGCTTCCGCAAGATCGTGAACCTGAAACAACAAACCATCAAAAGGGGTTCATTCCAATTCCAATTTGCAAATTCCCAACATCTCTCATCCATTTTTAGGTAAAGAAAACAAAATAGAAGACGAAGCATTGGAGGAATATAACCTTGGAGACATACTCTAACTCAGCGAATTTGAAGGCGAGGCCAAGGGAACTGAAAAGTACAGAGACCAGAGAACAAGCATCACAGAGCATATCCAATCGGAGTTCTTCAGAGGAATCCTTCAAAGAAACCACTAATTTGGCAAGCAATTCGAAGGACTCGGCTATGGCGGTAAGAGGGGACGCAACATTGTCCATTTTTATGAGCCCTCAAAATCCACCGCCACACCCAACACCATTATACGCAAAGTCTTCACCAAGTCATCGGAAATTCCAGAGCATTGGAGACTGAGAGAAGAAAGTAACGAGAACCCAGTTCGAAATTTGCAGGTATTGAAAAGAATTTCGAGTTTTCCCCTTCCTCTTCTGTGCAGAATGTGTAACTGAAACGGGAGATTTGAATGAATGTTCGGTTTTATTTTTACATTTATTTCGTGGGTTTGGGAAGTTGGGAAGTTCGCTACGGATGCGGTTTGTCCAACAGAAAATTGAAAATGGGAAGGGATGAATAGAGGAGAGAGAGAGAGAGAGAGAGAGAGAGAGAGTGGTGTATGGTGCAATGAAGGTGTGCAGTGCCACTAATTTCGCGCCATTTCAGGTGGAGAGCTTCCATGGTGAATTATCAGCGGCACGTCTCACACCCCTTTTCTTTCAATCTTTCTATTTTGTTTCAATCATACAGAACTTCTAAAACTGAGACAAATCTTAAGTTTAAAATAAAATAAAATATTAATGAATTAAAATTATATCAATATCCTTAACATTTTTTTCTTTAAAACACTAAAACAATCAATTCCACACCAAAGTTCTTCGCCATTCAAACACAATCCAAAGCTTTTATCAAATCTCAATAAATCTCACAAACCCTCACAATTAAACTTTTGACTAGGTTATCATTAACTTACAAAGTTACATTAACTCTTGAATTTTGAAAAAACCCATGTCCTTAAACTTTCTAAAATGTTAAAAAAAATAAGGAGAGCTTTCAAATTTTTCATTAATTCACTCCCAATTTTTTTAAAAAATTTAAAAATGTGTATAAAAGTTTAAAGAGATTAATACTACTATATACTAATATGAATATTTTTGAACTATTTTCTTAAAAAATTAAAAAAGTATTTTTTTATTTTTTTTAATAAAAAAATTAAGGTATTAATGAAATTTCAAAATGGTATTTTTGAAACATTTTTTTAAAATGGAAAATAAAATAATAATAATGAAATTAAATAAAAAAAATACTATTTTTTTTATTTATAAATATAGATTTTTAGCAATATTAAATATTATGATGTTTATTGAAACTTATATTTTAAGACAAATTATAGATATTTTTATTAATTTAACACAAATTTGACTGTCAAAACTCAAATATTATCTTGTCTTTTAAACTGATAACAAAAAGACTAATTTGAACTACAACAAAAATGATCAACAAGACTTTCACCTTTACAACCAGAATTTGAAAGCAATGAATAAAATAATAAATTAAAGATGTAATTAAAATAAACAATAAATTAAAGAAGTTTTTCAACATAAGATTGGATGATTCATTGTACTCCTCAATCGAAGTTCATTAATAAAAGATCACTAGATTAAGATTTAATGATATTTTTGTAACGTTCAACTAAAGAAACAATCGTGCCTGACTTCATCTATACCTTGGAAATTCTCTTAAGTGTGAAATTTACAAATAATAAGACAATGATAACATAACGCATTGAACTTTCAATCACAACAGAACACGTCTGATCGATCCTTAAGCCTAAAGGGAACAGCACTGACAAAATAATAGACTAAAAAGTCGAATTCCAGTTGAAGTATAGAAATTACATTGACACAAACCTCGAAGTATTGGGTTGCGAATTAAAATAAAATAAAAATAAAAAAAGGATAAAACGCATCTTCACATCTATGTTCACAGCAAGCACAATTCACAATGTTGCCAAAGGCGAAAAGAAAGACAGAGATCGGAGGGGAGCACAACGGATAAATACAGATTCTTTTCTTTTTGTTTTGATGTTGGATTGGCTGTCTTCATATATATATATATATTTTGGGGTTTATTAAAATCGGCAGGAGAATGGACTAATTCTGATTACCCTCAAATTCGTGGATATGATCTAAAAGATAGTTGGCAGCCATTTCCTCGTTCTTGTTGCAGGCGAAGAAAACCTCCACTACTAGAGCTCTATCGAAGCCCAAATCCTCAAGCTGTTGGGAAGGAAGACAGATAACCACAATATAGTTAATCATAAAAGATCTAATAAATCCCATTGCCTTTATTTTTATGTTAAAATGCAAGATTGTCTTTAATAGATTTTTTAACTTTCAATTGCTTAAAATTTCCAGACCATTGGAAGTTTAGACTCACTTCAAACATAAAATTCAATTTTTACTTAATATATCGATTAATTTTTTAATTTTTGAATATTTCAAGGAACTATTAAACATAAAATTGACAATTCAAGAATCAATTAAAAGTTGCTAAATCAAGAATGAACCCATTAGACACATAATTGAAAGTTCACAGACCAATTAGACACTTAAAGCTAGGAGAATAAATTGATGCCAAACTCAAGGGTAAAATAAACTCATAATTTAACAAACTTCACCTTATTATTAATATTAGTAAATGAAAACAAGACAAGTTCTTTTAGTATCTATTAAATTCTCTCTAAACAGTTAAGTCATATGATAATGTATAAGGTAAACTAACCCGTTGAATGGCTTCACGCTCCTCCGGGGTTACAGTTATAGCCTGCGGCATAGCCTCAGCAAGCTGCCCAAGTATATTCCTGAACAAATTTTTGGATATTATTATAATCCATCAACTTCCACCATTGTCTCAAAGTGAGAAGTGCGGAAAAAAGATTTACCCTTCTCCTTCAAGGGGCTCATTAATCAAGCGGAGGAAGTCAGGTTGATGATCTTGAATAAGCCTAATCAACTGAGGATTTTGTTTACCCAACTCTTGAAGCATAGGCTAAAACAAAATCAAAGAAAGGGGGCCTTTATAAAACGAAGTAATGAACCTCACGTTTAGAAAAAAGTGTCAATTGCAGTAGATGAAGAACCTGGAGTATCTGAGGATTAGCTCGCACCATTGCTCGCAAAGCTTGGAACTGAGACAGGAAAGAACACATTTTCAGAGGCGGGCATAATATGAAGTGAATCTGTCGGTTTGGGAGAAGGAGGAGAGAGAGACCTGAGGACTATTTCGTAGAAAATCAAGACTGCCGGAACCAACAGCTCCGGAAGATATATTAGGCAAACCCTGAAGTAAAAAAAAAAAAGGTACATAAACTTTCAAGTTTGAAAATAACCTATAAAATTTCTCGATCATTTTTTCCTAGCAAACTTGTATTATTAAAACGGAACCTATCAAGTTGCTTAATTTTTCTTTTCCTACCTGAGGAAAGAGATCTAATGGATTAGCATTTGGGCCAGTTGACGTCACAGATGCAGGCTGGGCTGGCTGTGCAGGTTGGGCTGGCTGTGCAGGTTGGGCTGAAGGGTTGGTCGCTTGCACAGTAGACGGAACTCCAGCAGCAGGTGGGGTTTCAAGTTGTTCAGGTATTCCCTATACATAATAAGATAATTTTGTTCATACAATACATTCTAAATCAATTAAGCTAGCAGAGATAAAAGTATGACCATTCATAATTCATTCACTAATAAGGAACATCAAGCAATAGTAATTTGAAGTTCAAGTGCAATTACAAGTTCAAGGCCCACTCCCAACTGAAAGAAAGCCTCAAAAGAGAACTTGCTAAAATATATTGAGACGAGAATAACAGTAGAACTGAAAAAGAATTAAATCTGGACTTACAGAATAAAGGTAATCAACAGCCCTTTCTGGATTATTGTAAGCAGCACGAAGAGCTCGAACAACAGTGTCTCTGTCCCAAATCCCTCCGCCCATGAGAAGAATTTGTTGGATAGTGTCCTCCAAGTTACTACCAGCAACCAGGTTAGAAGCTGCTTGGCTGTAGACATCGGATTCTGCCCTGTGTTTCATAATGTGGAATACAAGAGATTTAGAGAACTTGAAATAGAGAGAAAGGAGCCCTAGCAAAGAACACGAAAAACCATCAAGGAAAGGGCAGAAAATTCCTCACAAAACAGGGGTTGCAGGAACTGTAGCTGGAGCTGGAGCTGGAGCCAGAGCCGGAGGAGCGGGAGGAGAAGAGTCGGTAACAGTAGCAGGCCTGAAATAAAGATTATTGACATAATCGTAAATGCTCCCAGAACAATTATTCTGGAAAATGAAATGAAATACATAGAAGTGAATTTAAACTCACGGTGCTGATGTTGGTAGAGGAACTTCCGACGTTGACACTGGAGTGGCAGCAGGTGCAGGGGCAGTGTTCTGTGGTGCCTGCAAGTTAGTCATATCATACTATAAATCCAATTTCTCTTTATTTCCTTTTTCACAAGAAAATTAGTCGAAAAAACAATATTTTATGGGAATAAATAACACAATTGAAGAACACTGCTTTAACTCCAAAGGATTGGCTACAGAAATCAAACATCATGCATGGTTTGTATATAATTATTTTGAGATAACATGTACAACTATTATTGTACCATCAGTATCTTTTTTTTAAAAAAAAAGACATTGACTTTAGTATTATGAAGAAATGAAAAACCATTTTGTCAATCATATAAATACTTGAAGACAAATTTATGCATCCACTATTTTAAGCAATATATATTAGTTTTTTGTTAATTAAAGAGAATTAGAGTAACTGATAAATTCATTCAATAGTGTGAAAATGACCAACCACTTCGAGGGACAGGTACAACTATTAGCTCACAAAAAAATACAAACCACCAAAATTAAGTACTAAAAAGCTTACACAAGAATTGATATTAGCATCCAATAAACTCAGTGGAAAAAACAGAAGGGGAAAAGATCCACTGGAAAAAAGTGAATTACAACATTTAAAACATTCAAAGACACACTGAAACTGTCACCACCATTACCACTTGCCAGTAAAGCTTACAATTATGCTTACCTTCGATACTGGCGCAGCTTGTGTGGTAGAAGATGTCCCACCCGATGAACTTTTATTCTACAAACAAAAAGTAAATAAAAAAAAATAAAACAATCATTTGAGCAAAACAAAACAGAGATAAAAAAAAAGGTCATGAAGAGAAATAAACAAAAGGTTTCACACTTTAGCCCATCATTAAGTTGCAATATGATCTTGTACAACTAAACACATCAAGATTTTTGTCGTCACTTCAAATTCAAGTGCAGACAACAGGAACAGTGCTGTGCAACTTAGTAACAAACAATACAAAAGAAGGCAGAAACACTCTCTTCTGTGTTAGTACTACACTTCCCAGCACTACACTACCGATTTGTAAGCCTCCATCTCAAGGCAAGGTAGTCTACAGCGTTATCAAGACATCTCTCCCAATCAATAGAGGTAAACCATCTTCCCTCTTCATAAAACTAAAAGAGCAAGTACAGTCAAGGGAACGAATACTACACGTTTCCTGACAAATTTTCTCTAATTTTTTTCCCTCTTTTTAATAAAAAAACTGGCATTAATTGAAAAAATATGAAAGATCACAAAGAGTCAAAAAAGAGAGGGGGAGAGAGATAACTAGCCATACAAAAAGCACTCCCGTCCAAGATAATCAAACCTAAGAAATAATGACAAAAATAGTTGGGCATAGACATTCAAAGGGAAACACACTGACTTCTTCACAAGACCTCTCCATTCCATTAAAACGTCACCTATTTCTCTCCAGCCACATCCCTCATAAAGTAGTAAAAAAGAAGACCACCAAAATATACAACCCTTATCTCCGAAACAGAGGGTGGAAGAACACCTCCTTGTTTCATCCAACTAAAATTGCATCCACACTATCACATCTTTCTAGCTTAAAAAGGAGTACCATGTGGAAACTGTGTTAAATTAAAGAAACATATCATCAATACAAAAATAAATACATTACCACTCTCATCATATAGTTCATCTTTGACCATCATAAGCTCTAGTTAAAGCCAAAACACACAATACATATCCAGGTGCTATTCCAGTCTCCAACATGATTGACTGAACTATAGATGTATCATTTTAGCATATAACCTTCACTAATGTGAAGCCTGGAGGGTATTGGCTTTCACGATGCCTTTTGATGATGGCATGAGGTAATCTAACCATTGATCTCATTAAATATCTCTTTTTGTTGAAATAATGAATCAAGCTTTTTTCTTTGTAAGAATATTAATCTCTCATATCCCAAGAATATATTATTTACACAATCCTTCCGATCAAAAAAAAAAAATCGTTACCTTTGTTAACATTATTACAATAAAACTATTTTCGGAAACTTTATTTTCATCCAGTGTTGTGCCGTCTTTAAGGACTTTCCCTTGATGGATAAGCATCTGCTGAGCAGCAGGGTAAACATCAGCACCCTGAACAGTTTCTATGTTTTTCTTCACATCAGCAACCTAAGAACCAACAAAAATCAATTTATTTAACATTCAAAAGGCAGAAGGTATGAATGGTGGCACAACAGATAATGAAAGTTGAATACAGCCATGTGCTTTTTAAAATTTACCAAAGGTAGGAATATATGTATTAAACTTATTTTGTTTGTAAAATCTTGCAGTAAATGTAGGTGCCAGCATCAAACAAAGATTAACTATTTGAGCGAAAATTTACTTAATAAGTATTAAGTACCGTAAGTATTCTCTCTTCTTAAATGTTAGATGGTAGCATGCAGTAGTCATACACAATTCTGAAGCACTAACGTAAGGATCTTGAAAAATTTAGTTGTTAGTGGGGTTGGCTAATCTAATGCCCACGACTTTACATTGTGGATCTTGTAGTCTTAATGCCAATTATTCTATTATGATGATGTCAGTTAGGTCAGATAAAAGACTCAAATAGTCAGTTAGGTTAGATAAAAGACTCAAATAAAATTATGTAAATATTTTAAATTTTAAATTTTACTCTATAAAGTCTAGTCCATGATTTTAGGAGAATTTTCCATTTATTATATACACTAGTCTATAATTGAGATTAGAGGAGTTTGATATAGAACGTGTGTGCAATTCCTTTAATACAAAAAAAAAAAAAAAAAAAAAAAAAAAAAAAAAAAAAAAAAAAAAAAAAAAAAAAAAAAAAAAAAAAAAAAAAAAAAAAAAAAAAAAAAAAAAAAAAAAAAAAAAAAAAAA